AGGGAATTGCCAGTTTCGTCGCCATATCCGTGCCCCCTCCCCTGCCCTTAGTCGCCTTCCCAAGAACACTTCACGACCACCACCTGCCGTTATCCCCCACAGCAGGTGCCACCCTCCCCTACCTCGCCCAGCTCCGGCAGCCGAGGAACACTTTCCCATCTCCAAGTCTTTTCACCGGCTACTGGTGGCCCTTCTGGCGCATCGACGCCGCCGTCGGCCCCGACGGCCTGGCCGCGCGCCTGCGCCGCCCGAGCGCCGCTGCGGCGCGCTGGGCGGCGCCGGAGGGCGCGGCGGAGCGCTTCCGGCGGAGCGTGGAGGAGGCGCCTGTGCGGAGGGTGGTGGGGCCACCGGAGGGTGGAAGAGAAAAGGGATGGAGGAGCTCCCCAAGCCACTGTGTTTGGTGGTGTGGGGGTCAATCCCTTTGCTTCTGAGGTTCCTGGGCAAATGTGCGCAGCAAAGCCATACACAACAGGTGCCTGTTTTTCTCTGAAAGGGATACGCTCAAGACATAACCCAGGATCCGCTGCAAAAACAACGTGTGATCACTTGTCAGTTGTCCAGACACATGGCTCTTACAGTGGTTTCAGAGTAGATGGCACAACCCCAAAGATGTCTTTACATGGGGGTCCTCATAAACCACCTTACGTGGGGTAACTTGTGCCATCGAACCGCTGAAACCACCTGTGCCGATCCAGTGCTGGTGGTTCTCCACTTCGGGATCCGGGGGCTTGGACGCGCCAGGTGTCTTTTTCGCGCCAGACCAGCGGAGCTTCGCCCGGGCACTTGAGAGACTCCCGAGCCGCGAGCCGCGGCCCGTCGGTCTCAATGCGTCCAGGGCGGGTCCCCGTTGGGCTTGAACCATTGGGTTTCAGAGTCATGTCATCATGTCGACGGTTGATCCGTCAAGCTTTCCCATCTAAGACAGATGATCAGAGCTCCTGTCAATTCTGGACGCGCCCATGGTCCTCCCCCAGCGAAAAGGACCCCTTCGATGATGGTTCCGCGATGGTGGTCACCGAACTAACTCTCCACTCTGAAGAGAGCTGGATCAGTGCTGGAGGTTTTAGCCAACCCTTCGGGGATCGGGTTTGTTGGGACGTGATGGTGTTTAGGCCGTTCGGGTTGGGGTGTAACCTCGAGAGTCCTTCCGAGAGCTGCCCCTCTTCGCCTGGGAAAGAACTGATCTGAAGAGATGAGAGGAGGATGAGAAGAGATTTAAACGAGCATTCATGCGAGTGACACCATTTTGGACTTACCAACCGCTTCCCAAGTCGTCCAAGTCGTCATGGCATGAACTCCAGGTCCACGAAACTCGGGCACGGTCCAAACCACGCGTCTGTTCTTCTTTTTGGCGCAGAGACACCTGGTGGGGAAAAAAACGGGTTCGATGTCCCTCATTGTGGAGTTGGTCATCCAAAAACACGACTCCAGAGTTGTGGAAAAGGACCTGGGTCAGGCTGGACTTGTGACTGAAGATCTCATGGCTCGTCACCCTGAAAATCCTTCACCTCAAACAAGATCCGCAAAAGCAAAACACGACCAGCCATGGAAGAAAAGACATGCATCCCATACCAGCACCCTCCAACAGGTCTCCTCTGTGCCTATCAAAAGCCTCTTAGAGGTTAGTTAGGAGGTGTCCAAAAAAACGAAGGTCCTGGTAGAGGAGACCTGTTGGGCCTTAACAGTTTGTGCTTGTCTCCCCCTTTTCCCGCCCGACACCGACGCGCCCCCGAGGCCCGCGCGCCCCGGGCCGCGGCTCCGCAAGTCGAGCGACTCTGAGGCGTGCCGTGGCGTTCGGCGTTCGGGGTCCGGGGTCCGGGTGTGAGGTTTTGGGTCCCATAGAGACCGGAAGACTGGAAGACGGGCACGGTGCCTGGCCTGGAGAGGAATGCCATGCCTGGCCTCACGGAGTGGATGTCTTACATGGTTTCTTTGTAGGGCAGTGGAGTGCCGGGCAGAGGATTGCAGGGAGGGGATATTTTCGTGTTCGCGCTTGGGGATGTTGGACGCTCGCGCGCGGATTGGGATTTCGGCGGGGGGGGGGTAGCGTTGCAGCCACCAAGACTTAACATGAATCAGCTGGATGAAGAGATATGAAGAGTGAACAAAGGAGTGAACTGGATGAAGAGACACACCCTGCCGGGCTTTGAAGAGAAAAAGCGGGAGCCGCGCCGGAGCCGTCTTCGCCGAAGCCGCCGAAGCCGCGCCGCCAGAGGTGGAGTTCGTCCCCGACATGCTGCAAGGCCCACCTGCGACCCACCGGGGCGGTGACCGGGAGCTTCTTGGGGCTCGGAACGGTGAAGCCGCGGGTGGATGGATCGGGTCCGGAGACTTGTGTCGAGAGATGCCCTCTTCAGGCTTGGTGATGGCTGGGAGGGCCCAGGTGAAGGGGCAAGGTGTCCCTTTCACTCCAGAGGTCTGAAATCCAACTCCCACCTTCGCAGTGGATGTGGGAATGTGGGGTGCGGAAGTGCGACCTCTCGAAAAAGACCTGAGGGGCTTGCCATCCAACGGCTTGGGCTTGGCATGGGAAAGGTCGTGTTTCATCGTGATCAGGGCGATAGGGGCCACGACGAGTGACGTCTTCTTGAGCGTATCGGATGCGAATCGCTTAGAGAGCAGCAACAAAGGAAGTACCAAACAGCCTGTGGTTCCCAAACTGTTCAAAACCAAGTTCACTCAACCTGTGGTGATCCCCAATCTCTGACTCTACTGAAACAGAGGTTGCTCTTGGAGCAAGACCGTCACCCAGGGCCTTTAAAGGCGATGACGCGACGCACCCTGCGCAATCGGCTGCTGGAGCCCGTGCGTGGCAGGTCTGTCGTCGTTGACCTGGCGGCGGGTTACCTACACTGTCCACTTCCCCTTCGCTGATGTGCACCTCTTCACCATTGGCAAGGACTCTGGTGGTTTGGTTGTCCATCTTGGGGTTCCAAAGTAGCCACCTCCATCTTGACACATCCACTCCCCTCAAAAAGCTTCCAGACTTTCCTCTCCGGCCCTCGTCGCGTCTCGCAGGACCGGAAGCTCCGGAGCTGGTCGGTGGAGTTCATCGACCTGTTGATCGAGGGCCTCCTTGAAGCCTGACGGCGACGGCGAGCCGGGCGCCGTTGGAGGAAGAGCCTCCCAAACGGCCGTTGGAGGCGTCGATTTTTTCTGCGGTTTGGGGGGGCCGAAGAGGGTGGGGGATGACGAGGTTCACTTGGGTGGAGTGCTTTTGGACGAAACTGAAGGATGGCCGGGGCTGCAGAAACTGCCGAAACTCTGTTTCCTGTACTGTGACTATGCTGTGCCACGGCATCAGCTCGGACATGAGGAGTGCCGAACGTCAAAAGGATCCAAGTCGTTCACGGTGGCCATCAAATGCCCCTGACAAACTCACATGGAAGTAGTTTTCTAAGGGAGCACTTTCCATTTCCATCATGCAGACTCTTGATTCTAAAGAGCCCTGACATGGATTCAAAAGCCTCTTCAGGCTTGGGAAATCAAGAGTCTAAATGATTGGTGAGCTGAAGTGGATGTCCATCCATGGCCAGCACCCGCTCCAACTGAGCAACTCATCAGATACTCCCTGTTTCGGTTCCCCGCCCGTTCCTGTACAGCCGGAGGGACGAGAGGCCCTTGTCTCGTTTTCGGCCTCCGCGGAGCAAGCCAGGGTGTGTGTGGGTGGCATTTGTCCTGTTGTGATATGTGAGCAGCACCAAATCTTGCAGAGCCAAGAAGCATCCTCACAGGATTTGGACCATTTTGGACTCACAAACTTCATCAACATCGCATGGCCGCATGGCCTAGATATGTCCAGAACATGCCACACCTGGCCTTCTCGGGTGCGCCGCTGTCCTCACACGGAGGGTCCGCTGTCCTCATGGACCACCCACTCGATTGGCCGGTTGTGCCATCGTGAGCCGTGGGGCTCGATTTTCAAGGAGCTCGCCGGCGAGCATCTCAACGGAGAAGTGGACGTGAGAAAGACTTCGACATACTTCGACAGATATGGCCCCCAAAATGCCCCCGAAGCAGCCAAGAGAGGTTCTATAAGTGACCGCACAATAGGACCCGACTCACCTGGAGAACCCCAACCGGGATAGTCGAACAATCGGGTGCTTCCACCTCTGGAGCGGGCCGGTTCGGTGGACCGTGCGACGAGACAGCGAAGGGGACGGACCTAAATGCGAGCGGAAGGACTTCTGAAGGAGAAGGATCTCACCACGTCACTGCCTAGTTCTGTGCCCTGTTCCCCTTCTTCCAGAGCATGGGGTGTTTGTCATCGTTTTGGAGCAAAGCGAGCCCGGTTTTCTGTCCACTTCTCCCATGCCAAGTCCGAGAGAACAAAGAAACCCGAGCGCAGACGAACGCGGCCAAAACCGGCATGCGATGGGGTGGCCGAACGCGGCCGTTCTTCCTTTTCGGTGAATTGGTCGACCAGATTGGTAGAGGGCGACTCATGGGAACCCACTCAGACTCACTCAGACTCACTCACATGGAAATGGCCCAACGGCGAAAGCCCATGCAGGTCACGACTGGACCCTACGGGACGCGGTGAAGCCGCGATTGGGGCGTCGGAGTTCTCCACGAGTTGGAGGGTGCCAAGGTTGAGGTTTGCCTTTGAATGCTTTTCGTTGGTCATGGCTGGAAAGGAGAAAACACAAGAGCAAATTTGAAAAGCCTCGGACCAATTCTTCATTTTTCACAATAACCCACCACCCCCTTCCACGCCGCATCAGTGTTGTGGGGGGACACGGCCGGCCGGCCGGACACTTCTTCCTGTTAAGGCCACGACACACGGAACCGACTGCTTCAAGGAAATGAGCAGAAATTCCCAAAATCCCTCCCCCGCTTCGCATGCCTCAATTCCTCTATGCGCAGGTGTCCTTCGCAGTCTCCCCCCCAAACTCTTGGGGCTTCACCGAACCGGATCCTTCGGCGAACTCGGCGAACGCCCGCTCGCTCTCTCCTTCCTTCCGCTCGCTCACCCCGCTCTCCGCTCCGCTTGGACCGAGGGGAGGAGTACTTGTCCTCGGTGGAGCGTCTCACAGATCACTGGGCCCCGCGGCGCCCAACGAGCGGCGACGCGGGCCGCTCGCGCGGGGTGGGTGAACCAAGGAGCTGGCGTTTCTGGGGGGATGTTGGGTGAGATGCCTGGAACCCCCCCCCACCGGCAACCGGAAATCAAGCGATGTTTTCCCCAAGCAACCACCTTTGCCATGTAAAAAGGAATTGAATGGCCATATGGGAAGGTCTGTTTGTTCTGGTTGTTTGCGGTTCCGGGTGGTATTACGCTCCACGGCAGAATCCAGGTCTGCATGGAAAGCACCATTGGCCCGCGGATGACGTTCCGAAGCAACCAACTTCAACGGGCAGTGAGATGGTGACCGAAGTCAGGTGCTGGTACTGTATGCAAAAATCCTGCTGGTATGCACGAAAGCTGGTTTCAGCTAGCTGGAGTGGCTCTTGGCTCGGAGATACCCATGTGCTTCGATAGCACCACCCGCCTTCCGTTTGGTAGGCGGTCGGTCAAGCTTCGTCTTTCGCGCGATCCACCTGAGCCAGCTGGGATTGGTGAGCAAGATGAAGCACGATCACCCTACGGCGGTTTTTGGGACGATCGGCGGATTCTGCGGGAACCATCGTGATGGAAACCACGATCCCAATCACCTTGGAAACATCCATGACCCTCTGGCGGTCATGGATTAGAAGGGACCGGGTTCCTTTTGTTCGGCTCACCTGGCGGTGGGATTTGCTGTTGGCCGCATCGACCACGCGCACGTCCCTCCACCGCCCCGAGCATCGAGGAGATGTTGCCCTCCATGACCTTCAGCCGAGAGGCGATGCGGCGCGGCCAACGGAGAACGGCAGTTCTTCCCATCGGCGTAAAACCATCCAGCTCAAAGAAGCCGGTAGGGCCCGGTAGGGGAGGGATTTGATTCATTCGTAGGCCATAGAGAGAGAGAGAGAGAGGCCTTTACAAATCATTCCCCGTGGAACTTAGTAAAAGGTCCCTACAAGTCAATGACCTCATTTTACTGGAGTTTGTTGTGTAAAAACCACGACTCAAGGAGGTAAAAGACCAGGTTTTACAGCGACTTTGGACTTGTAGGGGGTGAGCGGTGCTTTTTCTTCTCCGTGGGGAGGTTCAAGATAAGACTCGAACAAAGAGTCGGCTGGGCAAGATCGAGTGTTTGGTGGCCCGAGGCCGATCCGGAGACGAAGCCTACTGAGGGAATCCTCTGCACAGAAGTGTACTGAGTGAACAAGAGTGAATCCAGTTGCCAGTACGACTCAGGTCACCAGTGGTTCCAAAGACTTAAGACGGAGAAATTCGAATCCTGTGGTTCCTTATATGCTAGCCTCAAATCCACGGGTTTTCTGGAAAATCCATTTTGCCCCGCGGGGCCACGAAAAGAAGAGAACCAAGATTGACATGACGAGTTTTTGGGAAGCACAGGTATATCAACAAGTTAGAACAATGCTTGCAATTTTTTTCTTGACTTAGACAGAGCTAGGCGGCATCATGTCACCCGAAGATCCACCTCCGCTTGGGAGCCACTTGGACGGCCCAAAGTCTTGTGCTCCACTTGGGCGCAGTTCAGTAGGAATCACAAAGAGGTGCAGTTTCATGGCGTTGCATGCCCTGAAACGGCATGGCCCCTTGGATGGACCATTTGCCTCTACAAACAGGCATACTGTGGCATACTGCCATCCACGTGGCCATGATTTCAGTGGAGCTTGCCAACACCTCTCCCACCTCCGATGTCCGTTTGCCAGCGACCTTCCAGCCACCTGACACTCAACCCAACAGAGGGTCCTCTCGCCCCCCACTCTTCTCCGAGTGCGTCTTTCGCCAGGGCGCGTCCTGCGCGGAGCTCTGGGGCAAGGTCTACGTCTGTGGCGGAAACGACGGCGCGGGGGGCCGCGGGGGTGAGGGGTGGGATGCTGGAAATCGGACGCGCCTGGATGCCCGGCTGCTTGGAAGAGTTTCCCCAGATGCGGAGAGAAGAGGTGTTTGGTCAATGGATTTTCGATGAAGAAGAGGTGTTTGGTCAAGTAGGGCCACGGCAGAAGCACCTTCGCCGTTCGGGCGAAATTTGTGTTAAACAATTGGGAGCTCTGACATCGACTGGTTTCAACCACTTTTGGTGCTTCTAAAACTGTTGCCTGCCGAACCGTTCCAACAAAGAAGGAGAGAGAGAGAGAGAGAGAGAGAGCGCGCGCACGCCTCAGCCATGCCATAGATCTGACACACCATACACGAGTCATGCGATGGCGTTCTCGATCGTCAGAGTGCGCGCGACGTCGTATCGTCGTGGACCGTGATCTCCGGTCCAGCTCGACCGCCCGGCGCGGCGTCGCCGGTCTGGTGCCCTGGGAGGCGCCAACACCTTGAAGGAGGTGGAGCGCTTCAACTTCGAGGCCTCCCACGGTTCGGAGATTGGACGACGAAGCATCCTGACCCTGTTGGAGAGTGGTTGGATGCAAGGTGCCAATAGGTGGGTTTTGGGAGATGTTGGACCACACCAGGACCATCCAGGGGATTGTCCAGTGGATTTTCCTTCCACTAGTTGAAACGACGAGTCAAGGACTAATACGCAGTGCAGCCTTGGACAGACCTTTTGGACGGCATGTTTGGTTTCGGGGTTCCCTCAAGTCCTCCTCTTCGATGGGAGTGGATGAGTGACTCATGTCCAGACCAGGCCGGGGGCGGGCGGCGGTTGCGGAGTGCCCACGGCTTCGCCTCGTGCACCTTGGGGCTGGCAGGTGGGTCAGTGGGAAGCGTTGCCTCCCATGCTGGTGAGGCGCGGAGGGTTTTCCCACGGGCGTGGGAGCTGTCGGAAGATTCGGCGGAGCCATTGGGACGGGGAGAACGGAGTGAGAGCGATGGAGGCTGACGGCGGCGTGACTGACTTCTGGATGGGCGGTGGCGGATAGGGGCTTGCTGCCAGCTGGCCTCCGCCGAGCTGAAGGTATTCTCGTGTTTTGGGTCATTCGAAGCCATTGGGTGCCCAGGATGAATCATGAGGCAGGTCTTCTCAGCAGGTCGCCATTGACGTTCTGAACCGCAGGCGCGATGGGCCCGCAGCGGCCGCCCTCTCGGGCAGGCGCGATCTAAAATACCCTGGGGGCTCGAGGACGCTTGGGGTTGATGCGTAGAGTGGTCCCCCATAATAGATAGAAATGGTATATCCCATACATCTTTAGTGGGGATCGGCTTCTCCCTATCCATTGGAAGGCCTATATATAACACAGAACACATGAGTTGTTTTATTTTCCTGAATGTAGCTGCAGCTTGGTAGCTAAAGAAACCAGAAACATTTGGGACTCGGCATCCCAAGGGAGCTAGACTCCAGACAACGGTCAGGTGTCCTGGTCTGCTGAGGTGGGGGGCCGGGGGGGAAGAATGATAGAAGGATGACCCGTACCCCTCGAGGTGATGAAGTGAAAGGTGACCATGAAGAAGTCGGTTCACCTGACAACCTAGAATCAGTCTTCTAAGAAGAGCCCAGAAACTGTCATCGCATGGTGGAAGGTAGCAGGTAGCACCTTGTTACTAAAAGCTTCTTGTTACTACTAGTAAGTAAGGCACCTGTTTCTAGAAGCGATGCACTTGTTCCTAGTAGCTTATTGTGAGTTCAAAGGTATACAGGTAGCAATGTGCAGTTCCCATGGCTTGCAGCAAGTCGCAACAGGGTTTCTTCACGTCGGATGCCCGGCCGCACGGCCGAGGTCCGCAGAGGTGGTGTAGGGCTCCGAGCCGAGAGGGAGTCACGAGACACCCGTTTTGGATCTCCCTGGAAGGTTTGCATGCTGCAAAACCGACCATGCAAGAACCCAATTTGGGCCAGGGGGGGTTCCCTACTAAAAGGCACATCCATTCCAGGGGGTTCCCTACTGAAAGGCACATCCATTCCCTACTGAAAGGCACATCCATCTCATCCAAAGCCAGGAGTTCCGTTCTGGGAGGGTGAGGCTTGGTGGCTTAGGTTCCTCGTGCACCTCCCACTTCGGAGCAATGACTTGATTTTATAAAACTCTTCGTTCCTTCAAATGGTGGCCCTTCTGGCCAATGGGCCGGAGGAAGCACAACTGATCCAGCCTCCTCTTGGTGCCCAATTCTTCCACACGCGGAGGATCTGGGTTTGTGGGGGCTTTGACGGGCAGCAGTCCTTGAGTTTAAGGCACGGGGGAGACCGGCTGCGGCTGGGTGGCACACCGCGGTCCGAGTGAGATGGCACAACTCCACAGACGTAGGTGTCTTGGGTCTATCCGAACTGACCGGGAACAGTCAGTAAACAAGAACATCACTGTTCACGAAAGCTAGCCTTAGCTAGCTGGAGTTGCTCTTGCTTTAGCAAGTTAAGTGACGGGGTGGACGCACCTCAGAAACCTCAAATAATTGATTAAATCAATCTTATGGACCCCCCCCCCCCCCCCCCCCCCCCCCCCCCCCCCCCCCCCCCC